GCTGTGGACATGATCTCCGACCTCAAGGCGACGCATGAGGCGGCAAGAGCTCGGCTGGAGGCGACCACGGCTTCGTATAAGAAGCGAGCGGATCTTCGACGTCGCCATGTCGAGTTTGAGGTGGGCGATTTTGTGTGGGCCGTGTTGACGAAGGACAGGTTTACCGCTCATGAGTATAATAAGCTTTCGGCCCGCAAGATTGGTCCAGTTGAAGTGGTTGAGAAGATCAATCCGAATGCTTATCGCCTACGTCTTCCGTCTCATATTCGTACCTCGGATGTGTTTAATGTCAAGCACTTGGTGCCGTTCTTGGGGGACAACTCAGACGAAGACTAGACCGGTTCGGATTCGATGGCGAATCCTCCTCAACCGGGAGAGGATGATGAAGACAAGACCGCCATTGCTTATTTAAATAAATATGATCGTCTTCGGGTTTAGTCGTCTTATTTATTGCTTTTATTAGTATTCTTTATTTCCTTTATTTGGTAACTTTATTAGGAAAATAAATATTTGGCAGTAGTAGGATGATGTTAGGAGTCTTTATTTCCTTCTCTTATTTATGTGGGGGTTGAGAACGATGTGAAGGCAGATTATGATTGAATAAAAATTACGATTGTTCTATTTCACGAGAGAGTATCTCATCTTCTTTCCCTTTCGTATTAAGCTCTACATCAGTTGGTATCAGAAGTCAGCACGATCACGATGCTGCCGCGCCGACGAGATGCTGCAGACAACAGGCGTGACGCCGCCATCTACGAATTGAGCCGCCGTACCGAGGCGTTTGGCCGCGAGCTCAAGAAGATGCGTCGTCAAGTTGCAGATCTGTCTGCGGAGATCGGGGACTATCGTCTTACTCTTCGTATCATGATGAACGTGGATTGGCAGACGTACCGTGACGCCAGCGACCGGGGCGTGCACGGGGGATTTAGCGGCGGCCGTGGTGGTCATGGTCCAGGCGGGGCGCCCCGCGGACGAACACCACAACTGCCGTCCGGCGATGACGACGGTGAGCAGGTGGAGGGTCGGGAGTACGACGGTCCACCGATTTTTGACGAAGAGCCACTCGTGGCGGACGACGACGTGGCAGAGGTGGTGCTTGGCTCGGCCGAGTCCGAAGGCCCCCCGATGTTTGATGAGGAGCCACTCGTGGCGGACGACGATGTGGCGGAGGAGAAGTTTGGGTCGATCGAGTACGAGGGCCCCCCGATTTTTGACGAGGAGCCGTTCGTGGCGTTCGACGGTCCACCGATTTTTGATGAGAAGCCGGAGAAGATTAGAGAGAAATTTTTGTATGACGTTCCCCACCCACACATTCTTTCTATTTGTGATGTTAT